TGTGAAGAAAGTTTATCAAGTAGAAAATGAAGATCAACTTTGTTAAATACTGCTAAGTCAAGAAGGAAGAGGGATCAGAAATGACCATTGGATGTAGTAACGTGAAGGTCACTGATAACTTTGGTGAGAGGAGTTTTGGTGCAGCAGTGGTTGGGGACAAAGCCTTATAGGTTTGATGGAAATGAGAAGAGAGGAACCAGAAGGAGAAAGAAGAACAAAGAGCTTTGCTGCAAAGGGGAGCAAACAATTAAAGGAATACTTGTCAGGGAAATTAGGACCAACAGAAAATCTGTATCTATTTTTTAATAATGAGTGAAAAAATGAGAACAACCCATTCAAGATGTTGGTGGCATAAGGGAGAAAGGGAGGAATTGCTAGAGCAACGTCTTTGAGTAGGCAAGGGGAGTGGCTTCTAGTGCATGAGTGGAGGCATTACATGGGGCATAGAAAATTCATCTATGCTTAATAGAAAGGAAAGCAGAGTATATGAATACAGATGCTGACTAGTGAGGAAATGGAGTGGAATCTGGAAGTTCTCCTCTTACTGCTGTAATTTTTTCAGTGAGGTAGGAAGCAAGGTGAACAGCTGAGAAGCTCACTTCACCTCTGAAGACATACATACACTGATAATGAAGGGATGGAAAAAGATATTCCATGCAAATGCAAACTACAAAAGAGCAGGAGTAGCTACACTTGTATCAGGTAAAATAGATTTCAAGACAAAAACTGGAAGAAAAGACAAAGAAGGCCATTATGTAATGATAAAGGGGCCAATTCAGCAAGAGAATATAACAACTAAAGGTATATATGAACCCAATGCTAGAGCACCCAGATATGTAAAGCAAGTATTATTAGAGCTAAAAAGAGAGATAGAACCCAATACAATAATAGCTGAGGACTTCTCAACGCTCCACCTTCAGCACCGGACAGATAACCCAGACTGAAAATCAACAAAGAAACATTCGACTTAATCTGCACTATAGACCAAATGGACATAATAGATATTTACAGAACATTTCACCCAACAGGTGCAGAGTACACATTCTTTTCCTCAGCACATGGACCATTATCAAGGATACAAAACAGGTACCCCAAATTAAAAAAATACTTAAATTATATTAAATATATTTTCTGACCACAATGGAGTAAAACTAGAAATCAATAACAAGAAGAATTTTGGAAAAAATATAAATGCATGAAAATTTAAAAATGTGCTCCTGAATGACCATTGAGTCATTGACAAAATTAATAAGAAAATGTAAATATTTCTTGAAACAAATGAAAATGGAAGCACAGCATATTAAAACTTGTGGGATACAGCAAAAGCAGTACTAAGAGGGACGTGTACATCAATAAATGCCTACATCAAAAAAATAGAAAAACTTCAAATAAACAACCTAATGATGCATCTTAAAGAACTGGAAAAGCGAGGGCAAACCAAACCCAAAATTTGTAAAAGAAAAGAAATAATACAGATCAGAGCAGAAATATATGAAACAGAGACTAAAAAAATACAAAAGATCAATGAAATAAAAAGTTGGGTTTTTGAAAAGATACACTTTCAAAACATATGAAGAAGCCAACCATTTCCTCACCACATTAGCTGCTACCACCCTGTTCCAGCCAATCAACTCTCACCCAGATTTTCGCAACAGTCTCCTGACTTGTCTCCCTGCTTTGGCCCTGCTACAGATGTCCAATTAAAATGTAAGTCAAATCATGTCCCTCCGCTGCTCCAAGCCTTCAAAAGCTTCCCATTTTATCCAGACAAAAGTCAAAGTTGTTGCCTTCTCCCCAGCTTCCTTCAGCAGCCTCACCTCTGCACCGTCCACTCTACCTTCTTGTTGTCTCTCTCTCTTTCTTTCTTTCTTTTTTTTTTTTTCAGACGGAGTCTCACTCTGTTGCCCAGGCTGCAGTGCAGTGGTGCAATCTTGGCTCACTGCAACCTCCACCTCCTGAGTTCAAGTGATTCTCCTGCCTCAGTCTTCCGAGTAGCTGGGATTACAGGCACCCACCACCACGCCCAGCTAATTTTTGTATTTTTAGTAGAGATGGGGTTTCGCCATGTCGGCCAGACTGGTCACAAACTCCTGACCTCAGGTTATCCGCCCACCTCGGCCTCCCAAATTGCTAGGATTACAGGTGTGAGCCACCGCACACAGCATTTTGTTGTCTCTTGAACCCACCAATCATGACCTTTACACAGGAACTTTGCACATGCTTTTCCCACTATCTCATATGTTTTCTATGGCTCACTCATCATCTTCCTCAGGTCTTTACTCAAACGTCCCACAATCAGTGTGGCTTCCTTGACCATACTACTTAAAATTGCAACTAGGGTCCTGTAAATTTCCTATTCTCCTTCCCTGCTCTGTGTTTCTTATAGCACATATCAGTACCTAACGCACAATATATTTAATTGAATCATTCAGTTTACACTCTGTCTCTCCCCATTTGAAAGTAAGTTCCGTGTAGTCAAAGACTTGTCTATTGTTTACAATGCTTTCTTCAGTGCCTGGAACAGCCCCAGGCACATATTTTCAGAATGAATGAATAAATTTCAGAATCATACAGTGAGACCAGGACTTCTTGTGGTGTGTAGTTACTCCATAGACATGAGATGTGCCATCCATCTAAAATTTGGTTTGATTGCTGAGAGTGAGAATATCTCACATGCACCAGGAAGATACGAAAAAGTTTATTACTCACATCATGTGGCTTTCTGGGGATAGTAGGTCTGGCTCCCAAGCAGGTCCAAAAGTAGCCTCAGAGAGCAGAGAAATGATACGGAGTTCTAGTGTGATCTGGCGATGGGGCTGGGATGAGGATTCCCGTGCACAGGGTAGGGCTTGTGCAGTTTGAACCTCCTACTAGTGCCAAAGGAGGGAGCACCTGAACTTCCTTATTAGCTTGCCCAGATGTAGGGCTGAAGGGTCAGGCAGGGAGAGGTGGGCAGGCAAACATCAGAAATGGGGTCAGATTGTTCATTATAGGTCCTATAGCAAGTAGGACTGTTTGGACATTTCATATTCTTTGATCCTACCTGGCACCTAGCACATAAGATCTGCAAGGAATCTTACAACTCTAGGCAGACTGTCTTATTTTTCAGATGAAGAAGACTGAGCCCAGTCCCACTATGTCATTCTGTCTCTGTAGATCACACTTTGAGCTGACTTAATAGCTGGCATCCCTGTGGCAAGGCCTAGGACTGTGGGGACTTAAAAACAATCTTGCACAATTTTTTAGACTCTGACTCTCAGAACCCTTTTCTGTAAAATTCTTGTAATATCTACTGTACACTTTGTCAGACTAAGGGATTCAATGAAAGAATGTTAATAATGTGCCATCACATGATCATACTCTGTGAAGGGTCATTGCTAGGGTCAGAACATGGTGGTCTCTAGTAAAAGATCATTTGGTCTAGGGATATTTAAGAGAACACTTTTGAGTATAAAATAGGTAGACTATAATTATTTCATTTTATATACAGTAACAGAAATGGGGACCATTGCTTTGTGTGGGTTTGATTTTTACTTTTTATAGTGAAACTTTCAAATAAACAGAAAAGTAAAAAGATTAGCATAATGAACATACCGATACTCTTACATCAGTCTAACAATTGTTAATATGTTGCCTTCTTTGTCTATTTGTTTTTGTTGTTGAACTACTTTAAAGTAAATTAAAGTTATAATGATATTTTACCCCAAAATATATCATTTTGTATCTTAAAATAAGGATATTGTCCTATATGGCTATGATGTCATGATCACACTGAACAAAAATGATGATTCTTTAATAGCATTTAATATCAGTCCACATTCAAACCGTGTTAAGGCTTCAGTGGGATGTTCCGTGAGATTTTGAGTCAAATTCTCCTTTGTGGATCTGAAACTCCTCATTCCCCAATTCACCGTGCAATTAATGATTTCTTCCCTCTTTATGGGAAACAGATGGGATTAGCAAATTGTGACTGTTGCTTATTTCCCAAAAGATAAATCAGGGACATCATAATAAGGAGGAGAAAAGTAATGTTTGCAAAATTCCTTGGACAAACCTCTATCTTGCAATTATGTGTATTTGCCTTTAATCATGTATTGGAGAAATTCTGAGCGTTAAACCAGTCTCAAATGAGATTCTAAAGTTCTGATTGGATGTCACCATCTCTCATAACTTTCCCCAGAATGTGTGATGAAAGGGCTCCAGCCTGGGTGACAGGGGAAGACTGTGTCTCAAAAAATAAATAAATAAAAATGAAAGGCTTAAAAATAAAAGAAAGTAAGCATTGAGATAGTGGTTTCAAGTCACTAAGAGTCAAAAAGTCAAAGGGCCACTTTACTGTTTTCCTTATCTTCCAACCAAGACAGCGTCATATAGTTTTTTTTTTTTATTTTTATGTTTTTGAGACAGAGTCTTGCTCTGTTGCACAGGCTGGAGTGCAGTGGCATGATCTCGGCTCACTGCAACCTGCGCCTCCCAGTTTCAAGCGATTCTCCTGCCTCAGCCTCCTGAGTAGCTGGGATTACAGGTGTGTGCCACCACGTCTGGCTAATTTTTGTATTTTTAGTAGAGACAGGGTTTTGCCATGTTGGCCAGGCTGGTCTTGAACTTCTGACCTCAGGAGATCCACCCACCTCGACCTCCCAAAGTGCTGGGATGATAGGTATGAGCCACTGCACCCAGCCAGCTTTGTATGTTTCAGAGAACCAAAACCAGGGATAGCCCCAAAGAGGGAATGATGCTTCGTTATTGTCACATCTTGAATAAGAGGGTGGAGAAATGGGCACACATATGAAGGAGAGTTAAGTACTTGAGCACAAAATTGTATCTACTTCCCTCAGCTCCTCATTTTGTTTTGCATGGGAATTCTCTATCAGAGAAGTTGGAGAGCTTTAAAGATTTTGACTTTGCAGTTGAGATTATGCCAATTCTTTGTAATTTTGTTTTCCACTTTAGCTCTTTTATTCAAAATGATTCTTTTCTTTTTTTTTTTTTAATTGTAGGCTTTGCACTTCTGGGAGGACACCCTTGTTTTCTTACCACACAAGATATTCATTTGGGTGTGAATGAAAGTCTCACGGACACGGCCCGGTTTGTAAATATTTTCTTCTCTCCAAAGCCGATTTCAGAATCTGATGGATAAATTTCAGAAAGAAAACATGCTTCTCTTTAAATAATGGTTTTCCCTCTGATTGTTCTGTTCTCCATTTTCCCTCTTTCCCTGATATTCGGAATGCCTCTCCCTCATCCTATGGTGGCCACTTTCCATGGGTTGAAATAATTTTTCTTGGCAATTTTTTGAAGAAGCTTCTGATCATAAAATTTCAAACTTATGGAAATATTGAGTTCATCAAGTATGACTCTTAGATTTAACAGTTGAGGAGGAAATGAAGGTCCAGGGAAACTGACGTTCAGTGACTCATAACCAGTTACTATCAGACTAGGTAATCACATTGATAACTATTAATAACATTTATTGAGCATTTATTATGTGCCAGGTATTTTTCTAACTTGTTTAATCCTTATAACAACCCAAACAGATTGTCATAAAGAAGTGAAACAACTTAATTAGGCACAGACTAGCTGCTATAACACAAAATCTCAAATGTCAATGTGCTAACATAGTGCAGATGTTCCTGATTGGTAAGAGGGAAGAACAGGTTATTAATTTACGTGGGTTATTCAGGGACACTGGCTGAGAGTGGTTCTACCATCTTCAACATGTGACCTCCAAGGTCAGTTTGGGTGTTAACATCCAGCCAGGACCAAGGAGAACAGAGCATGGAGAAGGCATACTTGTTTCAAAGCCGCCTTAGCAGGGAAGCAGTGCAAACAATTCCACTTATATTTCATTAGGAAGTACGAGTAGCTCACTCCCATCTAGATGAAGGGAGAGATGGGGAAAGACTCTTACCCACTATATTATAATGAAAGACTGAAGCATAGGCCTCCTGACTCCTCATGCAATGCTCTTACCACTACATCATGTCTGGCTAAAAAATCCAGAGCAAATATCTTTGTTAAAAGTTTTGCCCTCAAAAGAGAAGACTAATGATTCTTTTCCTGAAAATGATACGCGATAAAGTTATTTATTGAGATACCGTCTGCTTTTTATGGCAACCACCCTGGTATATACTAAAAAATTCACTTCATTTGACTTGCTGAAGAGATTTCAAATAACTCATCTTTAAACCTTTTAGTTATGTTATTTCAGATGGGACAATGAAAGTATTAAGAAGTGTGATTAGCCTCTGGATTCTAGGGGCAAAAGGAATAAAGGAACATAAATTTTTTCTTGCAAATAATCTGCCACTGACTGGGATTATATTTGTCTAACAATTCTGCTTCCACAAAAGTGAAATATACTTTATTCAAAAGCAAATATTACAAGCTGATCAAGGGATGAAACCAGAGACATATCCAAGCAAAGTTTCAGCGGGGATCCTCCATATAGGACCAGGTGAAAGATGGTGAATGAGTCATATGTAAAGCACTGGTTGGAAGAGGGTTCAGTGGGAGGAACAGCTGAGTATCCAAAAAAGGAGGTGAGCAGTGCAGGTTGGCAGTCAGAAGGAGGTCAGGGTCCAGAAATCAGTGCAGTGGGCAGGATCCCAAGAGCAAGAGACAAACAGCCAAGCATGGGCTGAAAATTGAGGATGGGTATAAACGTGCTCTTTTCTGCGCTTGCTGTCCACACAATTCTCACTGCAAATCCTCAGAGGAGTTCTACATAGATCCTTTGCAAAACAGCCTGCTTACAGATTTTTTTTTTGTTACAAGTTCCAAAATGATTGGGACATTCTGAGTCCATATAATTATTATAGTTCCATTGCTACACGAATACATGGGTCCACAAAATGGAGTCCATATAATTCATTTTGACCATTTTATCTTATGCAAAACACGGAAAATAATAGCTACTCCTTAAAGAGTGTCTGCTGTGGACCTCTTGTGCTATTACCTCTAAATCTTTTAAAAAATCTTGCAAAGTAAGTATTATTGGCCTGGTTTTATAGATGGGGAAAGCATGGCTCAGAGAAGTTAATGGAGCTTAGAAGCTGACTAAGTCAGGGTTTAAATCAAGCTGTCTTTATTTTTTAAGGCTGTGTTGTTTTGATTACCCCATAATGCTTCTTCTATTCAGCCCACGAGAGGGGCAGTGAAACAAGTTATAGAAAATATTGGGCCGGGCGCGGTGGCTCATGCCTCTAATCCCAGCACTTTGGGAGGCCGAGGCAGGTGGATCATCTGAGTTCGGGAGTTCGAGACCAGCCTGACCAACATGGTGAAACCCTGTCTCTACTAAAAATACAAAAATTAGCTGGGTGTGGTGGCGCATACCTGTAATCCCAGCTACTCAGGAGGCTGAAGCAGGAGAATCGCTTGAACCCTGGAGGCGGAGTTTGCGGTGAGCCGAGATCGCACCATTGCACTCCAGCCTGGGCAAGAAGAACAAAACTCCATCTCAAAAGAAAAGAAAAAGAGAAAAGAAAACATTGACTTTCACGTCAAGAGGTCCCCATGACAACCCAGAGGTTTGATGATTCTCTAGGAGGGCTCACAGGACTCAGCATATAGTCATACTCATAGTTATGATTTATTACAATGAAAGTATACCAAGCACAATCAACAAAGGGAAAAGACAGAAGCAGGAAAATGAAAGGAGTTTCTGCTTTGTGGAGACAGTGACAGATTAGGTACTGAACATACTGCATTAAAGGTTGAACCTCTGAGTGCAAATGTTCACAAGCCATTGGAGATGAAGACCTTGAGTGAAGTTGAGAGCTGAAGAAATACAAGCTCAGTGGTAAAAATGAGCTCCATGGTCTCAATGTGGGAGAATTGCAGAAGGCTGTGCCATGAGAACAGGTGCAATTAGGGAGGGGGAGGAGGAAATCCTCAAGGTACAAAGAGAAGAAAGATAGTACAATATCGGAAGAGTATGGGATGGGAGATGGGGGATGTCAGAAAAAAGAGTAGAGTAGCTATTGTAGAAATCTGACTTTCTTCTGTGTACCTCATTACTGCTTAATCTGCCAAAATATCTGACAAACAAGATATGCTGGGACTCAGAAATTCAATAAAGCTAAATTGAAGAAGACAAGAGAAATCCACCACTTTCTACCGATGCAATTGAACAGGAGATGCAAGGAAGCGAATCTTAATGACATCTACCTTGCTGATACGCACCTTGTAACCCTCAGCAATCGCCTCCTTTGCTTTTTGTAGAAGTTTAACATTTTAAGGTGCAAAGGGATTGGAGGATGATTAAATGACATTGTTGGCCCTTTCAAATCAAAAGAATCGTGCATACCTGACACTGATTGACGGTGTTGCTTCTCCATCTGCTGGTCCAGGTGCTTTGAGAGCCTGGTCAAATAAAAAGTGCCTGCACATTGGTGAAAGAAGAGCCTGAAGGAGAATATAGTGAGTGTAGCAACAGAAAGAAAAGAAAGAAAGAAAGAAAACCGGGCCAGTCTCTTGAAAGCTGTTAAATGCAATTTCCAAAGTGTCACTTATTTGTTCAAATGATTTAATTATTCATTTATTCAGAAATAGTTAATGAATGCCTCATTTTTCTTCCTGACATTGTTTTAGCACTGAGAATAAAATGCTGATCAAGGCTGGGCGCGGTGGCTCACGTCTGTAATCCCAGCACTTTGGGAAGCCGAGGGGTGGGGGGGGGGGGGTCACCTGAGGTCAGGAGTTCGAGACCTGGCCAACATGGTGAAACCCCATCTCTACTAAAAATACAAAAATTAGCCGAGTGTGGTGGCACATGTCTGTAATCCCAGCTACTCAGGAGGCTGAGGCAGGAGAATCACCTGAACCCTGGAGGTGGAGGTTGCAGTGAGTCGAGATTGAGCCACTGCACTCCAACCTGGGTGACAGAGCGGGACTCTGTCTCAAAGAAATAAATAAAATAAAATGCTGATCAAGTCAAACAAGATTCTTGTTGGAGTGGAAATTACATTCTGGAGCAAGGAGGCTTTTGCTAAACAAATAAATAAAGCATGAATAGATGAGCAGGTTGAAATAAGTGCTACGATGAAGCTAAAGCAGGGTTATTTGTTGGTGGGGTGGGGGCTGCCTTAGATTGGGTGGTCAGGGAAGGCCTCTCTGAGGAGGTGACAGTTAAGAGCTCAATAAAATGACAGAGCCAGGTACACAATGCTGTGGGAAGAGCGTCACAGAAAGAACTGCTGATGCATCAGCCTAAGGCAGCAACAAGCTGGATGTGTTCAGGAACAAAAGGGAAACCATTAATATTCTAAAATCTTCAAAGAAACATATTTTAAACCTGATTTTTTAAAAAGCACCTTACAGATTGGTCCTCAGTCTCACCCACCAAAGAAAGGAAAGATAAAATCAGAACAAGGAATAAAAATCCTAAATACACATTCAAAATACAATGTATTGTACAGCAGATCTTTAGAACTTATTTATGGCTGGGTGTGGTGGCTCACGCCTGTAATCCCAGCACTTTGAGAGGCCGAGGCAGACGGATCACCTGAGGTCAGGAGTTCGAGACCTGGCCAACATGGTGAAACCCCATCTCTACTAAAAATAAAATAAAATAAAATAAAATTCCACTCGCCCGTAGTCCCAGTTACTAAGGAGGCTGAGGCAGGAGAATCGCTTGAGCCCAGGAGGTGGAGGTTGCAGTGAGCCGAGATCGTGCCACTGCACTCCAGCCTGGGTGACAGAGCGGGACTCTGTCTCAAAGAAATAAATAAAATAAAATGCTGATCAAGTCAAACAAGATTCTTGTTGGAGTGGAAATTACATTCTGGAGCAAGGAGGCTTTTGCTAAACAAATAAATAAAGCATGAATAGATGAGCAGGTTGAAATAAGTGCTACGATGAAGCTAAAGCAGGGTTATTTGTTGGTGGGGTGGGGGCTGCCTTAGATTGGGTGGTCAGGGAAGGCCTCTCTGAGGAGGTGACAGTTAAGAGCTCAATAAAATG